ACACTGGCGTTGACTACAACCAGCAGTAAAACCATAATATAGTACAAGCGCCTGTTTTCCCAATCCGGCAATTTTATCATCTCAAAGATAGACGTGGGTGCTTGCGAAGGGCGAGTTTTATGAGATGAAAACTTAGGCGGTCCCTCCACACCACAGCCCAAAATAAGCTTGGCATCTACAACTAGCAGACACCCACTGAGTGAAGTCTAGTACATGTACTTCCTTAACACCTCCCCCCCCCCCGACACACACACACACACACAAACACACACCCTCACGAGAGCTTTATACATTGGCTACCATCGCTATAACGGTATCATAGGCCGCCGCATTTTTTGGGCGAAAAAAAAAGAATGTCTGAAATTGTCCGGATTTTGCTCCAACTTTAGACTAGTCGTCCTGAAGTTTGTTTATATTTTAATAGGCCTATAATTGTGCATGCCATATTGCACTTTATGTACAAATAGTCTTAATACAAGTTGCATTAGATAACGTGATCTGTGGGCCTATAAAATTACCAGTACTGTGCCCGGCCAGATGCTTCCTCTGATAAATAAACGTAAATGTATCGTGAACATGTTTGACTTATTCCAAAGTAAATTTGAATAAAATTGTACAGACCCTAAGACATGGATAGAACTGTAGGCTACGTATTACCACAACTAAAGGTGCGCCCAGCGCTTGAGAACCCAAGGGACGTAACTTCCTCGGAAGAAACCTGTTGCAGAAACGATGCACTTCAAAGCGACTTTAAGGCTTTGACCTCAGCTGGTTTAAGAAAGTCAGGAATCCGTCTGGCCAGGGAAGTACCCCTCCCTCACCCAATAAGTATACTACCGTTAGTTCCAGATTTGTAGATTTCCCGGGTTTTTCACATCGGCCCTCAAGCCACAGGAGATCTTCATCCATGGCTGGAGGAAGCTAAAAGTGGTCTCCCCTTTTCAGTTCTGTGATGATAGCCAAGTGATAGTTATCTTCCCTTGGCCTGGAGAAATAGTGCGCGTTTTCTCCAGAAATTATCATTAGGCGTCAGGCGCCTGCATGTGGTTGCCCCGCTTTGCGGTTCAGATGAGATGTGGCCTGCCACGTCAGCCTTGAGACTGCAGAAGCGAAATTATAAAGTTGTATATTATGTCTGTGTATAATTTAGTGGGTAAGTCAGAGCAAAGAGTGATTTATTAAAAATTCTAAGAAAAAAAATCAGAGTATTTGTAGAATGCCTACCTAAAGAAGGTTGAAATCTGGTATTAGGGTTTCAATATGATATAGATCTAGCCAAAATCTTGCATAGAAGAATAGCTGCTGGTGGTAGGCAATGTAAAATTACACTTACAACTCTTGTACATTTCTAGCTTTCAGTGTCATTAAAACCATCTTGGCCATAGCACTATAGCCCCCCCCCCTCTCTGTCT